GCTGAACACCAGCGAGCCAAAATAGCCGTTCGAGAACCCAAAAGCATTTTGCATTCGAGATGCAAACAATATTTTTTCGAAAACTGCGTTGAAACTTATATGAGAACGAAAAATGAATGAATAGGTAAGTATATCTATGTCATTGTTGATTTACATTTTTTATTTGAACGTCGATTTGAACCAAGGTGATCTAGGTGACCATGTTCAAGATTAGACACAGTACCTATACTACCACGACACGTCAAAAACTTCTCGCGCGGTATGATTGGAGATACCTATTTCGGTTCCCAGTTGTATCGCAAATACAAATAAATAGATAAAAAAAGGATAAGCATCCTTGAAAAAGTGAATCCTGTTCATGGGTTCATATGCAGTTTGCTATTAAGACCCTTTTATTTATAATTATTATAATTATTATATTTTAACACTGATACTTTTTCATATTGTAGCGAAGTATTTTAACAATGATAATTGCATTATTGAACCTATTATACTGGGTGTTTCCGAAATTGGGGCAATCAAAAATTGATGATAGGAGACGAAAAAACAAAACGAAATGAAAGGACAATTTTTTGTCGAAAACAAAATATTTTTGAAGATATCGAACTCCAAAGTTATCATTATTATTATTATTATTATTATTAAAAAGTGAGAATGGACTGAGGTGTGAACCTATAAAAGTCCATTTATATGTGACATATGTTGTATGGTACACATAAAGAAAAAAATATATATGTAAATAGCTACTAGACAAACAATTAGATTAAAAATAAAATTGAAAAAACAATTAAAAATGTTGAATAGAAATTGAGCATTTCGAAATAAAATAAACAATAATGCGATGCAAACTGAAAAAAAAAAATTTACCCAGTAATACGATCTAATCGACTTTTGAATGATGATACTGAGGGTGCATTAACTATGTCTGTATCCAGTTTGTTCCATGCCGAGAAAAGACGATTTACTATAAAGTTCTGCCGATTTGACGACCTGAAATGTTCCTTCTTAAGTTTCAAATTATGTCCTCTTAATCGTGTATCATCATTTATCTGGAACATTTCACTCAGTGAGGGTAGAAATCCATGAAGAATTCGATAAGTTAGGATCAAGTCTCCACGATGTCTTCGATCTTCGAATGTTGTCAGGCTTACCTTCATTCAAACGTTCTTGGTATGATGGTCTTCTGAGACCGAAGGACATTGGGGTTGCACGTTGTTGCACAGAGTCCAACATGTTAGGATCTCTGATCAACTCCAGGCTCCACACTTGTCCTCCATATTCTAGTATTGGCCTAACATGAACTTTGTACTGGTTAGTGAAAGTTTCAGGTGACGTTTTCGGAAAAACTTTTTTCAAGAGGTACAATTTTGTATTCGCTCGTTTGCATATGTTTGAAATATGTTGTGATCACATTAAATTGCTGGTTATGGTAACTCCAAGATCATTGTGGCATTCAACCTTAACTAATTGCCCATCATTGATGGTATAATTTTGTCTTGGATCATTTTTACCAAGGTGAAGTACAACACATTTATCAATATTCAGTGGTAGTAACCACTCACAACTCTAGTTGTATAAGGCAATTAAGTCATTTTGCAATATATGTTGTGATTTTGTGTTATTGTAAAAATTTGTGTCATCAGCGTAAAAAGAACAGGTTGACTTAAAAGTATGTGATAAATCTGATGTGTAACACAAAAACAATAGAGGACCAAGTACAGATCCTTGGGGAACTCCACTCAATACAGGATATTGGTCAGAGAAGCAATCATCTATCCGAACACAAAAATATCTGTTCTCTAGAAAATTCTGGATCCACGTCAGTAGTAGCCCGCGTACACCAAAATGTTCTAATTTACACAAAAGTATTTTCTAGGGACACGGTCAAATGCTTTAGAAAAGTCTAGATAAATAAAAACCATAGGGGTATCATTGTCCAAATATTTTGACCAGACATTCACGCACTCCAATAAGTTTGTTGTAACTGACGGATTTGGAACAATACCATGTTGTTGTTGCGGAATTATTTTGTGATATAACAGGAAAGTTTTAAATTCATCACTTATTATTGATTCCATGATTTTGCAAGCCACTGAGGTGAGACTTATAGGTCTGTAGTTGCTTGGGTCGAGCTTGTTACCCTTTTTGAATATTGGTGTTACAGTTTGCCTGAAATTTTTGTAAATCATTGATCAGAGGTTAATAACCCGAACCAAGCGTTTGCTTTTTCAATAATATTCGTTAAAACCCGCGAGGGACCATGCCGATAAAAACTTAAACGTGGACCGCGTGGATTTGAGGACTTCGAGACGAATAAAACCTTTGTCCGATGTGGAATTGCATTATTTATAATAATAATAAAACAAACAAACAGCAATAATAAAGAACGAACTTAATTTGATTGATATATACTTGAATTGAATAATGAATTTCAATGAACGCATAAATAATATACACACGCCCCTTTTTTTATCTGTTTCTCTTTTTTGTTCTCTTGGATATTATGAAAATTTGACTACCATTGCAGGCTGTTCGTTTTGAAGTTGAATTTCCAATTGTACAGATATGAATTCAGATATAAAAGATTTCAATTCTCTCCCGCGTGGGGTAAGGATATACCCTAGGAACAATTCACCAAATGTTTACTACGATGTGTGCAGAACTAATGACGAAACACATGCAAAGACTTGTTCATTGATCATATTTAGCCACTGAGCTGGCGTGATTTTTCAGTACCATGTAGATTAAACAAAAAAAACCCGCGCGGTCCCTAGCGGGTTAAAAGATGTAGCTAGAACATAAAAGTATTTCTCAGCTGAGTGACAAGAGCCACACGGTTAACTGACATTTCAACGAACATGTAAACATTTGATGACAGCAATTTTCTATAAATAGATATTTACGTAACCAGTTGGAAAAGGAAAACGCATCATTTTGTGTAACGATGGGATTTTGCGAGACGAGCGAAGCGAGATTACACAAAATGTTTTCCTGAATATATTCATATATACGTATAATATTTTTCCTATTTTTGATGGAAAATTTCTCTCGAACAGAAATAATGACCAATTCTACATGAGTTCTACTGACTAATTACAGAATAGAATAGGCAGAATAGTTACTTCGCTCTTCACTTTGGAGTATATCCGTCATAAACAATAATATAGTCAAAAATCAGCGACGACATCCACGAAAAAGACTCGTTTAATATTTTCATTAGTGGAAAAGGGCTGATTCATGTTCAGATTTCTCAAGTGATATCAAGGAAGCAGCACAAAATGCATCATTATTTTCTTTGTCCATCCATATTTATAATCGGAACGGTTGATGAAATGAACATTTCATCACCAGTTATGTAATATCTCCCCGCAACTGGTTACGTAATAGTATATGACGTCATATGTGTAGTGAGAAGCATATTACGCACGAATGGAGTGAGTGCGTAATTGCTTTACAACACGCATTACGTACTATATACCTCACATACTGCTATATAGTACATCGAAAAAGTCTGAACAAAAAATCTGAATTATAATTCTCGACAGTTATGTCATCCGCTGTTGACGGCGATTACGCGATCATGACATACAGTCATATTCAATAAAAAAGCGTACAAGTATAAAAAAGAGAGGATTTCGGGATCCTAGCTCTAGTTGTGTGAAACTGGCTCAGCCAATGCTTTGTGTTTTCAAGAACCTATGGCAACTTTACTGTCATCATTTGGTAAGCAATCATTTCCGATAGCCCGTTTTATGTAGAATAGGATTACGTTGATTTCTCTCTGTAATATACTTGTACGCTTTTTTTTCAATGCGACTGTACCTATACTGGCAGAATAAACGAAAACTGTGTGATGTGCTTACTGTGCGTAAAGAGCTGCTTATTGAGGCTGTATCTCGTGTGTTCTTGCCTACTTTCTATAGTGGCCCCAGGTAAAGTTACGTAAGTCAGACTAAACTTCGTCAGTTCTGAAAAGTGTCAAATTACATGTCAAAATTGAAAAAATACATTTGTACACTCATATCGACCTTTTGTATACCTAATATAGATATAGGTAATCGCGATAAAAAATAACACGTTATCCTTCCTGACGGCAACAACTTGAACATTTCTGAGCGGTTTGTTTTGATGATGTGACTAATAAGCACAAACAAAAAACAAATGTGAACCAATGAGAACAACGTAAACAGACCGCTTTGACAGCTTTCAAGAACTCCGATAGGTGGCGTACGATTATTTTCTATGGCAAATACCTGGTATTGAAATTACTGTATTTCTTGAAAAGGAATATTCTCAGATATATTCATGGAAAATGATATTATATGCACATATTTATATGAAGGAGAATGCAAATTCTCAACTTCAGAAGATTTTGTTTTCAAATTCTTATCGTGTGTGTTCAATAGATGTATTTCAATATTTGTCGTGGCATATAGCCAGAAAAGTAGTCGTTTTCAGTTGAATAAACCGAGAAAGAATTAATATTTTCATCACATGGAGAATACGAATTCTCAATATGTATCTCTTTATATATATATATATCCATTTTTTTGTTCATGAATATATCTGAGGATATTCCTTTTCAATACTTTCACTCAATCAAGGTGTTCAAACTTGAACAATGGAAACTTGTTTTTCTTATAGACCTCAATCGCAGATTCGTGGTTAGATTTTCTCAATTCAGAATTTCTTTCCACGTCCTGTATGGTGAATCTCAATTTATCATACATCCAAAAATACTGTATTTCTCTCCTCTTCTAGACTGGTATATGATGATTTTGATTAGATATCATATCTTCTTATTAAAATACTCAGCAATTTTCATTAGGATATTTTATATTGGAAACGCCACTGGTTGTTGAAGCACATTTGGAAATTCAGCTTCTAGCTGTGAGTTGCTGACAAGTTCACACCGCTTGCTCGTTTTGTTGCAATGTTTGTTTGTTTTTTGTTTGTTGTGGTTTGGTGTCAACTGTCAAGATCGGTGTGTCTTCAAAACTGTCAAATGTGTTCCTAACTTGAATTTTAATATTAAGTATTTTGAATTTTTCATATTTTCATATTTCTCATGAAATGGCATCGGCGTTAGAACAATTTGTTAATACAGTTAGAACTTCATCTTCTCATGGTGAATAAAATACTATTAATAAATTGGCAAGTACTATATTCAATTATGTTTCTAGGTAATTTCAGAGAACTATGTGAATATTTAAATAAAACCAGTGATGTTCTGGTTAAAAATGCCCAACACTTGGATAATGTACTGGAAACATTGGATATACAACAACACTCTCTAGGCATTCTGGCAGTGCTGTGTGCTAAATTTAGTGGCCAGTCCCAGTCAAATGCTCCTGATAATCATTTCACAATGACACAGGATTTTGTATTGAATTGTAATGGAGAGCAAATAAGATTTGCACCTGACACCTGTTAGTATGATTTGAACTTTTTACATCTCTATATGCTAGGGGTTTGGGGGGAGGGGTTTCTAAATTGAAAGCATTACATTAAATTGAAATAAGGACCCTTTTGATCAATTTGCACTATGAGTGTGGTTTAAAAATACTACAAAAACAATATAAAGTTGGTTAAGTATAGGTCAGTTGATAAGTAGTGCAAGCTTGAGATATCCTTATCTTGAACTCTTCTTAGATCCTTCATACTTTTTGTATCATAATATCCAAATGCAGAATTGAAGCAGCAAACTAACAAAAATGAACCAATTGAGGCTATCCATCTTACAGTGAAGTGTAGGCAATAGGACAGGGCGAAAATTCATACAGTCTACTCCAACAAAACTATATTTTGATGTAAGCAATTTGTAGAAGGGACATGAAGCTTTGAAGCTTCGAAACATGTCCCTTCTATGAATTGGTTACATTAAAGTATAGTTTTGGTGGAGTAGGCTGTATGAATTTTTGCTTTGTCCCAACAAAAATGAAAATTTATCAAAATCTCAACACCCCACCCCTCTGCATGATGTTTGTGTTCACCAAGTAGGTATCATTATATGTTTTTATTTTATATAATATTGGTATCTTTGCTAATTTTAATCATGAAACTGCCTACAAAATAGCATAGGTACCAAAAACTAATTGGAATCTGAATGCACTGCTCTCCATCTTCTATATCTTCAAAGTCAGTGGAGTGGTACCTACAATCCACACTCACTTTTATTATACTGGGTATCCACGAAGTTTGGCAAAGTAATATCACTCCATTGTGATGATAGATAGACAAAATATCAATGGGACAAATGAAGATTGTTTTGATTTCTACAGGATGTATTTTGAATAGAACACCCTGTATTTTTCCACATATTTTTATTTGTCATTATCTTGTCTGCATCATATATTTTTTTGCTATTTTTTTTAAGTATTGCCAAGTTGATTGGAATTATTTTCAAAAATTATAATACACATACCTAATGTTGATTACAATATGCCAGCATATCTTCCTTGTCAAGATTTCCATCCAAGATCATGCAGGAACTTGGGTGATACTTTGACTATTGCTTCAATGATGTCATCATTAAGAGTTATCTTACAGGGTGATTTATAATGAACAGCCAATGTTGACCTTTTCGAATGATCATAATTTCATTATTTCAAATGGAACACCCTATTTTAGTAAAAATGCATTTCCATTCCAGTTCTCTGTCATCTGATACCATAATATAAATTATCATGAAATTATCAGAGGTAATACCATGAGTCCTTCAAATTTTATCACAAATCACAAATGTTTTAAAAATTTTCTAGGAAAACTATTATTTAATAAAAATATGAAAACAAACTGATTCATAAAATCCCCAGTCCCTATAGGACTAGGGATTTCATGAAAAAGAACTGATTCATAAAATCCGGAGTCCCTATAGAACTAGGGATTTCATCTAATTCTGTTTGTTTGAATGATTTCAACTAAAATAAATTAGTTGAGTAGAAAATGAAAAATTATCTGATAAAATTTAAGATTTCAATTGTATTTGGGAGGATTATTTTTTTCACCACCAAAATGTACTAGCAAATTTCACAAGTCAAATGAACTCTATGCCCTTCCATTGTGATTGATCAAATGGTTGTCAATGTGATGTGTGTGGCATACTATAGGTAGATAGGATATGTACCCATATATAATTCAATCTTCCAAAGAAATGAAACATTATTTCTGTTATTAGGTTAAATGATGATTGAAGAGGTGAGGCTTTGTTTTCTTGAAGAATTGTTCATTGATTTTATTGTAACTTACACATGAGATAAGCATTTGGTTGAAAAATCCAAGATAGTGGCACTGGTAAGTCAGATTAATTCTGACAGTTCAATGTAAACAATATTTTATCCAGGACCATTCAGTTCTATCAGTATAATACCAAATGATTGGCTAGAATTACGCATTCCTATTGGTTGAAACAAGGAAAACGCCACATTTTGACATGTGAAAATCATAATCATAGGTATTGTAACTAGGAGTCCTTGAAATTTATATATATGTATACAGAGAGTCGGGAAAGGTCATGTCGTAAATGATAGGGCTAATAAGAGTGAGCCAAAATAATATAAGTACATTATATGAAAAAAGTGTTTATCACACTTCCTTATGGAGTAATTGACCTTGAAAGTTTGAATAAAAAAATTGCCATGGTATCAATGATATTCCGGCAACTGAATTTACTCATACTAATGCTCCTTTTGATATGTAAACGGTTGTTATTATGCTTTATACAGGATGTTTTGCTTACACAGTAGCTTCTTCAGGCGAAATACTGGTACAACAAAGTAAACTTACATGGACTTGCATAACATCTATATCCTACTTTCCCAACCCGAAGGATTAAAATTACCTGTGGAAACGTTCCATAAACCTTCATTTTCAATGTATAGGCACAATATCTACATTAAATTCAGTGTACCGGATTGACTTGAAAGGGTTGACAGCAAATATATATTATTACCTACTAAGAAAAAAAAATCAACAGCGTGAGTTATTGAGGTCTAGTTGATTGTTAAGTAGAATGTAGGAATTTTTGCATTCGTTGTTTTGATTGATTGATTGATTGATTGATTGTCTTTCCCCTAGAAACATTTTTGTTTATAATAGGTATACATGAATACATGAAAAATATAATAAAGGGTTAATTAATGAATTCCACTCAGTGGAAACAAATTAATATTGTTTCGCAAGATGAAAGTTATAACATTTCATTCCAGAGTAATCGAATCATGCCACATATTTTTCATTCAAATTGTCCTTGAGCAAGTATTTTTTAAGATTGTTTTTGAACTTTCTTGTATCATGTATATTTTTCAACTCATTTGGTAATGAAATGTATTAAATTATTCCATTCTGAAATACAGATTGTTTGCCAATGTTCTTGAACTTGACTTGAATGTATTTGCTATCAAGTAATTCAATTGTCTTCATTAAAAGCTAAACTCAATATATTCAATTTATTCTTGGCAAAATAAATAAAACCACATATTTTGAGTTTAAATAACAAAATCAGGTTCAGAAAATGTCAAGGTTTGTATAAATTTACCGTTGATTCTAGAAAATGTAGATGAAAAATACATTTAATTCATTTGTTTTGTGATTTCATTAGTGGTTTTAGGCGTGAAATATTTGTACTCCCCCAAATAGAAATGAGGTAAAAGTAAATACATTTCAAGTATTTTATGGGACTGATATTTCGGATTTTGAATAAAATGCCTATGATCGGATTCATTTCATTTCTATATGTTTAGTCCATAATATTTTTATGAAAAATTCACAGTCCACAAGCAAAAGCTCATAATAATTCAATGTTTTAGTGTTTTTAGCATTTATGGAGGTCCTTTGTAATAATTATTTGTTATATATTTCTTGGAAGGGGAAAAATAACGAATTCCACGAGATAATGAAATAGAGAATGTTACATTGAAAAATATATAAGTTTTGTGTCGTATCTCCAAAACCAAACCCCGAAAAAAATTTTACGTGCGCCACTGGATTCTGCGCCAAATTCTATGTTAGACATTTTTTCAGCGCAACGTTATTCCTCATAACTTCGTAGATATAGAAGGGGTCCAAAAAGTATGAATTTTTAAACTCGCCCTGTATCTCTTAAACGGAAAGTTATGCAAAATCTGATTCGGCCATCATAAGTTTTACAAAAAAGTAGGATCGGAACGGGAAAACCGCAGCCTCAACCAAAATGGGATGCACTGTACAGGGTGGCTGGAATTCGAGCCTCATCATAAATTATGGCAAAGTTGTCCAATTTTATGCCAACAAAATGTCGATCTGAATTTTCTAGTTCCGAAGATTTTTGGAAATAACCGAATATTCTGCTCATCATTTTTATTTTTTTTATTCCTCTATTTAAATAGATGTATGTGTTATCAGATTTTTAAACCGACGTTTCGCCTTTGAGCTGCCATCATCAACTTTGCTTTTATCATGGATTTTAATAGCTTTTGATCTCAAATCAACGATGTATCGCACTTATCCGAAAAACTCATATTAATGACATTTTCCATAAAAACTCATTTGGTAGAGAGACAGTATTTATAAAAACAAAGTTGATGATGGCAGCTTGAAGACGAATCGTCGGTTTGAAAATCTGACAACACCATCTTGTAGAACAGAGAGAGTAGCTATGATAATGTGTAATTCGTTTTAATACATCTTCAAATTAGAGTAATAAAAAAATGAAAATAAAATCGCGAATACTCGTTTTTTTACAATGAACAACCTTCACTAGAAATCCTAGAAACACAGATTGGGACAAATACACCACTAATCTGAGGTGCAACTTAGAACAGATCAAGTTTAACAGCTACAGTCACGTCGAATTTGGGCATCTATTGGAAGCGGTCAATGAGGCAAAGAGTTAGTTTGGTATTTCATTCATAATTAACGTAAGTGCCTGTAGCTCAGTTCGTAACAGCGCTCAAAGCGAGCTTTAAGTGTGAGAGTTGGAATCTCGCTGCTGATGGAATTGTTTTTTATATTATTGTTTCCTTTATCTACTTATTCATGCAGGAACACCGACTATTCTTGTATATTTGTTATTCAAAGTGAATGGATAAATGAAGTACTTATCTATTATTTTTATAAATAATATGTTGATTGCCTTGAATTTTTGACTAACGTATAGTCGTAGAGAAAGTATAGTCTTCTACTCGTGTATAATAGCTGATATTATTTTACGCTCGTTGAAGAATATACTATAATAGATTTTACATATTAAAAAAATTTTAAAGCTTTCATAAAGTTAGGAAAGGAAAGTGAAATAATAATTGTGTTCCAATTGTTACAGTTTTCTCAGTAAATTGTTGCAAAAATAGTGTAAATAATGATTCACAAGTGTCCACAATTCCAAAACAATAAACTTTTTTGACATAAAGTTTTTCATCAAAGTTGTTCAAAATTCAGAATATTATAATGCTATTATATACAGGGTGTCCCATTCTGCATTTCTGGCTTATAATGGCCTACTACATTTCAAAAAGGTTCTACTGTTTTTTTGGCGCTGTTTCATGTGATAATGTCGATATGTTATAGGTACATGGCTGTGAACAGTTTTTCAGTCCTATTCGATGGCATAAAAACATGTGACGCCCATCTCTGAAAATGATCAAGATTATTTTTTTTCGAATGTTTCTGTTGTTTCAACCAATAGCACTGCGCAAATTTAGCCAATCATTCGGTATCATATTGATAAAATTGCATGGTCGTTGATAAAACCTTGTTTACATTCAACTGTCAAAGTTAATCTGACTTACCAGTGTCCGCCATCTGGTATCTTTCGACCTATCTTATGTGTAAGTAACAATAAAATCAATTATCAATTCGTCCAGAAACCGAGAAGTAACTTTTTTGATCGTCTTTCAATTTAATAACAATAAGATTTTATTATACGCTATATACGACGTAACCCATCCTCGCTTGTAGTCTATCTCTTATCGTTTAGGTAAAAGCAATTATGTCCCTATGAATTGGCGGGGCCCTGTATATCATGCTCGGTCTCTCATTATTTGTGCATAGCAAGTAGATTATGTCAGCAGCAGAGCATTTCCACAGAATATGGTATTTTGTGGCATCTCATTAACTGAGAAAGAGGGTTATACGCTATACTAGTTAGAACTACAAATTGTGAAGCAATAACTATTGAAAATGTTTCATAGCCAAGAAGTAGTTACACAATAATGGTAACCAGTTCATTAAGATACAGACAACAGTCTCATTCATACTGATCTAAATTTTGTATTCTTTGTAAAAAATAATGTTTCAAATTCTTCTATTCAAAGTGTGTAGCGATGGTAATTTGTATTTAAATTTCGATAAAAATTATTATAACCAGATGAACCACACGTAAATCTCATCATCAATAAACTTCACCTACTAGGTACTCATATGTTTCATTTCGTAATTTATATTACTCTTGTCATTTTTTTTCAATGCAAAAGTTCGCCATCATTCGGCTAATCAAAAATGCCGATTTCATTCAAAATTGTCTGGATGTTACATTATCAGGTTTCTAGTATTCTGTGCTTGTTTGAGTTGAAAACTCGAAATTAATAGGGTAATAGTTAAGAATTTTGCTAACTCTAACTTTGGTATCTACATCCCTTCATTTTTCTTGTATTTGTTTCCTACATTCTCCACTCTTTTCAATATAGAATCTCGAATTTCTGAATAGGTCGTCATTAAAATTTTCAATTATCAACGACTCTCTTTCTTCTAAAATTTTTGTGAAATGGATTCAATTGTCGACAATATAGTCTAAGAGCCAGCGATCGGCAGACTTACGGTATGTTAGCAAACATCATATTGATGTTAGGTATACTATTTCACCTGCCGTAAGTGAAATGGGGATTTACTTCCCCCATCGACGGTTCCTTTGGGCGCGTCCAGAAGTCAAAAAACATAAAAAAAATACTTCAAAAACTTGATCGCGGCATGTCTGCCGTTTTAATATCTCGAAGTACATACTTTTTTTTCATTAAAAAATTCAATGGCAGACACTTATTCCGGTTCCAAGTTGCTTCATAGAATTTCAAATTTTCGAAAATTTACCGCACTAGTGCAGTAGTGTCCACAATTCACATATCTACATTATATCTATTTCTTTTCCAGTTGCAGAACTGTGCCACTCTCTCACAACTTATTTAATCGAACAGAGGCAACCTCTCAAAGGAGTTGTCCTCCTCCAAAAAGCCATTTCAAAATTACGCCTGTTCGATACACAACTTACCTCAATACATGCTGATCTCTGCCAGCTTTGTTTATTGGCAAAATGTTTTAAACCTGCATTAGAACTATTAGATAATGATATTACTGGAATTTGTCATGAGGTAAGAATGCACTAAAATATTTAGGGTTACCAATTATTGAAATTTTTCTTTTTTAGGTTACCCATAATCCAAATGGATCTCAGTTTGATTCAAAATATTTTTTATTGTACTATTATTATGGTGGAATGATCTATCTAGCTGTACGTAATTTAGATAGGGCCTTATATTTTTTTGAAGTTGCAATAACAACCCCTTCTCATGCAGTTTCACATATTATGCTAGAAGGATTCAAGAAGTATATATTGGTTTCACTGTTACTACATGGAAAGGTAAAGCTATAATTTTTCAAATTATTTTTTTAACCCAATTGAAAATGTATGAAATTTTCTCTAGAAGACATCAATATGAGTGCTATCTTTGACCTGAAGAATCGTGTTTCTTCAATACTGGTCAATAATAAAATGTACAGGGTATAACATCGAAGAGACTCACCCCTATATATTCACGATATTTTTCATTCAAAAAAAAAAAGCGGAAGTTGAATGCCTTTTCACGGCCTTCATCAGAAGTTTGACTGGGTGATTCCTAAAAGCGTGACCTACCACAATTTTTGTTTTTTATAATGAAACACCCAGTTTTTTTTCCAATCTGTGATTTTTTGTCATGTATTTTATGAAAAATGTATAAATTATGTTTATAGTTGATTTGCCCTGTTCAGTTGTCTATTGGTCCCTCTAAAGCATATTATTACGTCATCACCCCTTTTCGTGGGAAGCAGAACATAAAAAAAAAATCATCATAATTATACCAATACGAAAACCGTTTTAGACTGGATGTTTATGTATTCATTGCTTCAGGTTATTCATGAGAATTTCTGCAAGTAAAGGGCTCAATGGATTTTCCATAATCAAACCTTGTGGAGCGGAATCTTTCACATACTATTATAGGCACCCTATACAGAGCTAGTCAGTTTTTTCTTACAGGACTTCAACAACTCAAGGAACGCGTATTTCCATAATGAAAATTTCACACCAAACATTTTCGATCAATTTAAAGCCTGTATTTCGTATCGTTACCATAGCAACTCAACAAATTTCTTGGAAATGTTTTCCTCCTCCTTGGGGGACGGAGCATGAAATAACACTGGAAATTTTTTGACGTTTATAGGTTAAATGCCATAAATGACATGATTATTTCGAGTTCATTCCATGAGTCAATAAATGAAAATCATTTATCAACAGTTTACCATATAGTATTATGTAGGTATACTTGCAATATAATATTTTAGTGTGAAATTTTCTTACCGAATACCACTTTAGCTCCAATTAATATCCGGGAATTTTTTCTCGAACACGAATATTCAGAAAATTCATATTTTCTAAATATTCTGGTTCTCGAAATAAATTCCAGAAATAATTGAAGCTCTCGTGATATTATAAGTGAAAATTCTTCGTTTCCGATATGCAGGCTGTCAAAGTTCAAGATTTCTTGTGTGTTTCTTGAGTGTCCTCCTACAATTTTCAAATAATGAGTTGAAATTCGATACAGCCATTACAATTCAAAAATTTAATATTTAAGACTGTTAAGCGTTTCTTTTTATCTAGGGGTGATGCACCTTTGGGGGTTGTAGCCAATTCAATCTTCTTGAACTTTTTTGCGTGCTGCCTGTGACATCAATTTTGATTCTCTCTTCCATTTGGATACTTTAAGGTCTCTTGTGTCTCTTGTATGTTTTTCGAAAATTGTATAGATTCCGCGATAAATGCCAAAAATGATTGACTTGCAATAAAACTTCATTTTTCGAACACACTATGTTCAACATTCCTCAATAATTGACAAGGCGACCTGAAATCATTGAGAGCTTTCATGAGATGTGTTAATGAATTTCAGTGGCAAAACTTGGAAAACAAAAAAAAATCAAAATATCACACTGTCTGTTAATCGGAAACAGAGCTCAGACGTATATATACTCAGTTTACAAGATCAAAATAGTACCTATTCGACAAACTAATATTGAAGTGTCAAATGGTTCCTACTTTTATTTCATTTTGAAATCAGTTTGGTCTTTACGTTTTTAATTCATTGAAGAATGTATCTAAAACTAACATTGTCATTTTTATTTTTTAGATTCAGGTGATTCCAAAGTATGCCTCACAAGTGGTGACAAGATTTATCAAACCATTATCACAACCTTACTATGAATTAGCAAATGCCTTCACGTCTAATAATACTGCTGAATTGAATACAGTACTTAATAAACATAATGAGGTGAGAAAATGCAATCAACGTACTAAGGGGTTCTGAAAATAGTCGATATGAATTTGAGAAAAAAAAACTAAAAGTCGTCTTCACAACATTTTAAGATTTATTGAAATGTCAAATTCCAATTGTATGGAAAATCTTTTGGAATTGTAGTGTCTATGACTAGGGCTGGGAGAAATATCGATATAGGTATCGATATATTTAACAATATATACCGGTTAATAATCATTTTCAAAAGTATCGATATATCGATAACTGCTTAGTTTGGGTGCTAGACGGCTCTGAATTCACAATTTCCAAATCGTTTTTGCTTTATAACTTTGAAACGGCTCATCAGATATTACTCGAATTTGGTATAGTTTATCCAAAAACAATTGCACAATCTTGTGCCGCACCTGCAGTCACTTCAAAGGAATCTTCAAACACGCCGACGTCGCACAGTTCGAGATATTCTGCAATTGATATTGGATGTACTATATGTTGGCATATGTTTATTGGATAATAAAGTCAATATCATTATACTCCTAGAACTTTATTTTTTCGTAAATATCATTCCATGGCCGTAGAACTTCATTTTTTCAGTAAATAATCATCCAAAACTACTGCGCCAATGGAAAGAAAGGGGTTTCAATATGAAAGGAGTACATTACCACAAAAAATATAGTCTTGATAAAATTCGATTATTCTCATGAGTTCGACAAAATTTGAATTTTAGTAATTCAAAACATCAGTTAACATTGAAATGTTCGTTTCACGTATACAAAGGACGAAAAAAATGGATACAAGCAAATTCACCTCAGTCCATAGTTACTCAGACGATAAGAATTTGAAAAAAAATCTTCTGAAGTTAATAATTTGCCACGTCGAACATTGAATTATAACTGATGAACTTCCAAAAGGAGAGCATGAAATATAAAAATCCTCTGAAATTGATAACTGACAAATCTAATAAATATTATGATGTATTATATGACTTTGTACGAATCAACTCATTTCGGATATCTAACCCTCCTCAGTTACCTGAAGTCCAGTTATTCTTTCAGCCATTCTTTAATCTTCATATACATTTCAATTTTCATTTCAATGCTGAATATATTAGTTAGTTGTATTTTTATCATATTATTTATCAGATTTGAGAGATTGCCAATTCTCAATTTCAGAGGATTTTTATTTTTCATGCTCTCCTTTTAGATGTTCAACAAATATAATTCAATGTTCGACGTGGCACATAGAACGTAGTTGATTTCTGTTGAATATTCAGATTGAAATTATGTGCATATACATTATTCCAAATTTTTTGGGATTTTCTCTCCTCGTTTCTATAAAATAAAAATATGAATATTATTTCAATATACGTGTAGTAAGGACAAATCAGATGATTTGCCCCAAAATGTCACTGCGTTTAAAGAATTTTCCTATCAGAGAGCCTAAAAGAAAAATTCACTAGCTTGTCAGTGACAATTTGTATTGAAAAAATTTTTGGAGAAGGGAAATAAAGGTATATAGAAAGAATATCAAATTTTCACTTATCTTTGGACGTTTCGGGACCGGTTCTGCTCCCGTTTTCAACATAAGAAGAGATTATTTCAATAGCGAAGTCGTATAATGTCTTGAAGCTTTTCAGTTTTCAATGACAATTGGTGACGTTGGCAATCAAATGAGTTACAGGATGTTTTCATTAATTGATCTTGAATTTACCATTTTCATGTTCAGATTTTAGTAGTGAATACCATGTTCTGTCTATATCAATTGAACAAGAAGCAATGTCTCCGTTCAGAAGAATGCAAGCAGATTCCTTGATTTTTCTCTTCTGGTTGTTATCTTCTTTTCCAATAATTTTAATATTATTCCACTCTGCCATATGTTGTCCGTCTTCAGTAAGGATATGTTCAGCTAGTTTCGATTTATCGATGTTTCTTTTCTTTATATTGTACTTATGTTCCTTCGTCCTTACTGAAAGAGGTCTCTTGGTTTCACCTGTATAAAACTTTCCACAAACACAAGGTATACTGTAAATACAATTTTTTGATGATTGTTCTTCATTTTTCGGCTATGTTTGAGTTAGAATTGATCTCATTGTATTTTCAGTTTTGAACACAGTTTTCACTTGAAATTTATCACCAACACGTTTTATTTTTTCAGATATGCCGGGAATGTATGGTATTATATTTGTCGTTATTGATGGTTGATTTTGTAGTGGTTGAAAACAGGGTCAACCGCTACAAAATCAACCATCAATAACGACAAATATAATACCATACATTCCCGGCATATCTGAAAAAATAAAACGTGTTGGTGATAAATTTCAAGTGAAAACTGTGTTCAAAACTGAAAATACAATGAGATCAATTCTAACTCAAACAAAGCCGAAAAATGAAGAACAATCATCAAAAAATTGTATTTACAGTATACCTTGTGTTTGTGGAAAGTTTTATACAGGTGAAACCAAGAGACCTCTTTCAGTAAGGACGAAGGAACATAAGTACAATATAAAGAAAAGAAACATCGATAAATCGAAACTAGCTGAACATATCCTTACTGAAGACGGACAACATATGGCAGAGTGGAATAATATTAAAATTATTGGAAAAGAAGATAACAACCAGAAGAGAAAAATCAAGGAATCTGCTTGCATTCTTCTGAACGGAGACAATAACATTGCTTCTTGTTCAATTGATATAGACAGAACATGGTATTCACTACTAAAATCTGAACATGAAAATGGTAAATTCAAGATCAATTAATGAAAACATCCTGTAACTCATTTGATTGCCAACGTCACCAATTGTCATTGAAAACTGAAAAGCTTCAAGACATTATACGACTTCGCTATTGAAATAATCTCTTCTTATGTTGAAAACGGGAGCAGAACCGGTCCCGAAACGTCCAAAGATAAGTGAAAATTTGATATTCTTTCTATATACCTTTATTTCCATTCTTCAAAAATTTTTTCAATACAAATTGTCACTGACAAGCTAGTGAATTTTTCTTTTAGGCTCTCTGATAGGAAAATTCTTTAAACGCAGTGACATTTTGGGGCAAATCATCTGATTTGTCCTTACTACACGTATATTGAAATAATATTCATATTTTTATTTTATAGAAACGAGGAGAGAAAATCCCAAAAAATTTGGAATAATGAATATACCACCTCCTCGATTAACCTACAGACAGTATTTATGTGCATATACATATCTGTATCTGAAGAAGAATGCAAATTCTCAACTTCAGAGGATTTTGTCTTCAAATTCTTATCGTGTGTGTTCAATGAATATAATTCAATGTTCGTCGTGGCATATTGCCAGGAAAGTTGTTTTCTGTTGAATAAACCCAGATATTTTTTAATCACATAGAGAATGTGAATTCTCGATGTATTTCTTCATATACAGGGTGTTTCATGAGGAGACTCACATAGCCAAATGGTTAATAGGGGAAATCAAGACGAGTTGATGTATATAAATGAAAACATTTTTTGACCCTCCATAACGAAGATTATGTGAAATTACTATATAACTTTGATGGCAGATATTACAGAAATGATTCATCGTGATCAGCTGAAATTTGGCAGCGATGTTTCTCTACTGAAACTATTCAAGATAATATATTATGAAAAAAAATCCAGGTCTGGACTTGAAAAAATTTCATGTTTCATTGTTATATCAGAAAAGTTCACTTTGTGACCACTTTTCACGAAAAATTTCATCAGATTCAGAAAGACCAGACAAAATTTCATAAGAACTGCTCTTCAATTTGCACGGCACACTTTGACCAATTCAATGAAAAAATATGGAACAAAAACGTTCGAATGAATTTTCAATTTCGACCTGGCTGATAACTCAACTTTCAACTTGCTTCGTGTAAATTGATTATTTTGTTCATTTTTATTGGATAGAAATTGACAGAAGAGAAAAGTTCTGATTTTTTTATCATTTGACATGTTAGTTTTTGACCAAACTTCTAGATAGATATGATTACTCGTGACTCTATTTTATACATTTGTTCTAAAGTAGACCCTATTTTTATTTTATGTAACGTGGCGTTTGTTGATAGGAAGACACTGGTAATCGAAATATTCTTGTACTCTAGGTGCCACTTCATATTTCAAATGCTGAACAAGACGAAAATCCAAATGTTATGCCATGTTTAATACCATATAATATTTCCAGACCCAAGAATACGTTGCAGTAAAACCTACACGAGGATGAACATAAGGAATTTTGGAATAAATAGCAAATGCATCCTTATATCACTTGCAGAAATGTATCAATAACCAATAACAAAAAATGGAGCTGAGTTTATGCGTGATGGCCTAACTAATTTGATAAATAACCATAATATGGGCATATGAATCCTCATGTCGTAATTTCATCAGTTGGTATACCTACCTAGTACTAGCCTAGTACGTACCTATCAGTTCGCATTATCAACAAACGTCACGTCTCGTCACATAAATGGAAAACAGGGCCTACTAGATATCTTATCATTACTTCAATTGAAAACCATAAAACAAAGTCAGGAATAATAATATCTATCTGGAATTTCGATAAAAAAATATCGTATTTTTTCTTCTTGTCTATTCTTCTGACAATAACTACTCAACAAAAATGTAGAAAAAATCAATTCACATGATACCAGTTGAAAGTTGACAGTTATCAGCCAGGTCGAAATTTAAAATTCATTCGAATGATTTTGTTACATATTTTTTTATTCAACCGGTAAAGTGTGCCGTCCGAATTGAAGAGCAGTTCTTATAGCATTTTGTCTGATCTTTCTGAATCTGATGGAAATTTTCAAGAAAAGTGGTCACAGTGAACTTTTTTGACATAACAATGAAACATGGAATTTTCCCAAGTCCGGACCTGGATATTTTTTTCATAATATGTTATCTTGAATAGTTTCAGTAGATATACGTCGCTGCAAAATTTTAGCAGATTACGATGAATCATTTCTGTAATATCGGACATCAAAGTTATATACCAATTTCACATAATCTTCGTTATGGAGGGTCAAAAATGTTTTCATATATATACATCAACTCGTCTTGATTCCCCCTATACCCCCCTAACCATTTGGCTATGTGAGTCTTCTCATGGAACACCATGTATATATATATCCTTTTTTTCATGTTCATAATTTATCTGAGAATATTCCTTTTCAATACTTCCACCCAATCAAGGGGTTCAAACTTGAACGATGGGAACTTGTTATTTTTATAGACCTTGAATCGCAAATTCGTGATTAGGTTTTCTCAATTCAGACTGTATTTCCACGTTCTGTATGATGAATATCAATTTGTCATACATCGAAAAATCATGATATGGGTTTTATTGCCCAATAAAACTATGCCAAAGTACCAAATTTGAGTTAAATCTCATGAGCCATGTCAAAGTTATGAGGTTATAAGAAAAATAAATTTTTCCATTGATATTCTATCAAACCCTATTTTTCTTTATTATTATTAATATTAATATTATGCGACTTTTTTTGAATCCAACTCCACGAACTTTCATTCTTCTCTTTATTTGTTTTAATTTTCAATTTCTATATTGTTGTTTATTAGACGTTCCATTGTCTTTATATAAATGTCATCTATTAATTACTGTTGATGACGCCTTTGCTCACTGGCAGATCTAGTGAGTTTTTCAGGGGAGGGGCATGCCATGGAAATTTGTGACCAAATTGTTACATCCAAGGCACCATGTTTACCAAAAAGATTATCAAATTTTGTCACCAGCGTTTGAACCAGTCTCTTGAGATATCTGTCTTACTTTTCCCACTATCTTGGGCAAAGACAACACAGTATTTACAATATTATAGTCCTTTATGGATGAGTGAATACGATAACCATTCATATTTCACGATTCGATTATTTTTATTGTGTTCCAAAAACAGCAACTACTGGTTATGAGGCGAACACCAAGTATTTTTTATGAAATTGTATTTCTGATAGTCATTCATTGTTGCAAATATTTCCATTTTCTATATTTTCCTCTGGTAGAAAAGTATTTTCTTGAGATGACAGTCCTGCCCTGTGTAATACATACTTACACAGGATGAATGTAATAGGGTTCAAATGTACCTCCACATTTCAATCAAATGATGACTTATATTGTTAGTCTCACCAGTCGACGCTACTGTAGCATGAGGTTGTCGCTGTCAAAACAGTGAGTTTTGCTAAATAGTCATAAAATCACTATCTGAGTTTTTACGCGTAACTTTTATATTAACGAAAAAGAAGGTATTCTAAAGAAGAGGCCAAATGAAACGAGAGAAGAAGTATTCGTCATGCAAAACCTCACGCAATCTGGTGGATGATCAAAACATATTTTCTGTCATTCATCGACTAGTTTCTATACATAGATGTTGGTTTCAAATTATACGCGGTGTTTCCTATTTGAAAGCTGATATTGTAAACGATAATCCTTTTAAGAAAAAGAGTTCTTATAAATATACAGGGTGTCCGGAGATAAAACCGACAAGACTTGTGGGGTTATAGGGACTGTCAATATGATTGCAAAATGCCATAAACCAATGTCCAAAACCGCTTCGTTATTGACATACAGAGTGATTTGTGGATTTTGACAAAAAATTCCATCCGACATATCAAATACAGGGATTAACCGATTAGATTCAAATTTGGTACACGAATTACACTGAAAAGCATCAACAAGTAGCCCTTTGATCGAAACCAATGTCAGGACCGAAATTATATTTTTCCCCTATGTTGAGTTATTGTGAGAATAACTCACCCTGTATAATAATAACAAAAAATTTCAACTCAGATTCGACATCTACGGTAAAAATTGTATAGGAATTTGTTGAAAAATGTCTTGGCACTATCTTAGTTATTCCGTAAATAATTATTATTTTAATTTTTTTCTTTCAAAATTCTATTATTGTCGGATAAAGTATTATCAAAATTGGTAATATAATAAATATTAACGAAACCATGACATGAATATCGTTATTTTCTTCAATTAGTCCGTAAATCGTAGTAAAATAAAATACTCTCATGACCCGAAAAAACTGAAAAATAAATTCGTATCAGGACTGGAATGCGGTTTTCTATGATTATATTCCTGTAAGAATAGATGATCTATAGTATAACAATGATCTGATCGCAGATTCGAAATGCAATGAGAAAAGTTAAAAAAAATGATCGGATTGAACTTTCAAATAATAAATCCGTATCAGTACCTTATAATGTTTGTGTATAAAGAATACTTGTGTCAAATTCAGAATTTCATTATGGAAAACCATTGTTCACCTGTCATCAGCGTTTGTTTTATTGGTGTTCATTCATTATTCCAGTGTTTTTAGGATCAAACTATAGTTCTGAGAGTGTGCTTATGATGCCGTTTCATTTCACTTATGAGGAATACGCAGATATTCTATTTGTGTTTGGGCTTTAACTGGTGATGTTTACCTAAATTCCCTGGTCAATACTTGACCGGATCTATTGCAAGGTGTAAATACCTGAGGTATTTGGTTTCAGCATGATGGTGCTAGACCTCACTTTTCAGTTCCAGTTAGAAACCATCTCGATGCCAATTACCCCAATAGATGGATTGGCCGTGGAGGTTCAGTAAATTGGCCACCGCTATCCCCTGATCTAACTCAGCTAGATTATTTTTTATGAGGTCACTTAAAGTAAGAAGTTCATAATGAAGACATTTTTAATGGGACATTACTGCTGCATGTGTTAGTGTTAGAAATAACCCTCAAATAATTCGCAAGTCAGTGAATCATCTGATAGCACGCTCTCAAAAATGTATTGATGTTGGAGGGCTCTACATCAAAAATGTTTTGTAATACTGGGTAGTGAAAGTTTTTCACGAATTCGTTGCTTTTGTTATGTTCATTACAAACAGTTATTGTTCGTTGTGTAGTATTCTCATAAATTCAAATTCATTAGTGAGCGAATATAATTTACGAAAACTTTACTGTAATCCTTCTTTGACAGGTTCTTGTACGATTTTTTTAGATTCCGAATCTACCATCAGATTATTGATAACTATTGATGTACTAGGTCAGCTAACATGACCAAACAAAACACTCATTCCAGTCCTGATACGAATTTATTCTTCAGTTTTTTCGGGTTATGAGAATATTTCATTTTACTCCGATTCATGAACTGATCGAAGAAAATAACGACATTCATGTCATGGTTTCGTAAATATACGTACTTTATCCGACAATGATTGATTTTTCAATGAAAAAAATCAAAATAATAATTAATTACGGAATAACTAAGATGGTGCCAGGAGATTTTTCAACAAATTCCTATACAATTTTCACCGTAGATTGCGAATCTGAGTTGAAATTTTTGGTCATTATGATACAGGGTGAGTTATCCTAACAATAACTCAACATAGGGGAAAATATTATTCCGGTCCTGATATTGGTTTCGATCAAAGGGCTACTTGTTGACGCTTTTCAGTGTAATTCGTGTACCAAATTTGAATCCAATCGGCTAATCCCTGTATTTTATATGGCGGATTGAATTTTTTGTCAAAATCTACAAATCACTCTGTATCTCAGTAACGAAGCCGATTTCGACATTCGTTTATGGCATTTTGCAATCATATTGACAGTCCCTATAACCCCATGAGTTTTGTCGGTTTCATCTCCGGACACCCTGTATGTCCTTAACCGCTTCATTTCTGAGATACAGGATGTTGAAATTCAACAAAAAATCAGTTTTTCCCAATATCTCTGAAGCCGCTTCGGTTTTTTCTTCAATTTAGCTACATGCATAGTACGCATAAAGATGCATTTTCTTCATGATGAAGGTTCAAGTAATATTGGTGAAAACTGATTCTTTTGTTCAAATGGTGAGAAATAATGCGATTACAACCCTATGTTCCTAAACAGATTTATGCTTGAACTCATCCAAGTATTATCGTCATCAATTATGAAACACCCTTTATGTACTAAAAATGGGCATATCATTCGAGATTTTTTTTACCAAATTCATATTCTCACGAATTTTGATACTATTACTATTATTATAATCATGTTTCTAATTTCCAAGGTGTTTACCAGGGATCACAACATAGGACTAGTGAAGCAAGTTTCTTCAGTTCTTTACAAGAAGAATATTCAAAGGCTTACAAAGACATTTCTGACACTTAGCTTATCCGATGTTGCAAGCAGGGTGGGCCTTGCAAGTCCAGCTGAGGCTGAATGTCATATTCTGCAAATGGTAAGGATTGTAACACTTTTTGTATTCACATGCTCTAATTTTGGAGTGCTACATAATAACATTTCGAATCAAGTTTACTGATTTCACCAATATAGTAATCAACATACTCTGACCGTAAAACTCTCAGATTGCATCTGTTACTGAACCACTGAGTAGGGCAATCAGTTGATTGAGTTTTGGTCATTATTCCTGAGTTCATGGCTAACTGCGATTATACTTCGTTACTTGTAGTTGTAGTTTCCGTTTATTACAGTTTAGCTAAACTATTGTGCACTTTTTGATAGAGGCATCAAATTTGGCACAGAGCTAGACCGATATAATATGAGCAAATTTGGTCATGGAGTCATCGGCCAACTGCCCCCTGGCAGCTGTGGTGGCCATATTCCAAAATGGCCGCCAGTGGACATAGAGAAATTTTTTTTGACGATTCAGTACAATATCGTTAGCTCTATAAAGTGAAATCACCTTGTATTTTTCCACATATTTTGATTTATCGTTATCTTGCCTACACAAATATGTATTATTTCTGCAATTCTTCTGGGTGTTGCCAATTTGATTGAAATTACTAATTTCGAAAAACTATAACACGCAGATAAATCAAAATATATGAAAAAAATGCAATAAAAAAATCATCAATCTTGTAGCTCCACCATTAAAAATTATCCTGTAGAGATCAAAATAATTTTGCTCAAACCTACCGATATTGTACTATATCCCCAAAAAGATTTTGTATAGGTATCTCTTATTGCAATAGAGCTATAAAGCTTTTCCACACTACGTGGACACTCGGTAGATAACTCAATATAAAAAAGGTGATTTAATTCAAAACATTCAATAAACATTCACAAACCTAGTCCAATAAATGAAGGAGGAAAAAAAGGCAAAGTTAACGTAAATTACGCACTATTTTCATCTTCCGGTTGGAAGTAGCTTTTGGTACCTCATTAAACATGAGACAAAGTTTGACTGGAAAACGCGTGCGATGGCGGAGAAAATGGCCCCAAAAGACCACGAAAATAGGTTTTCAGCCAATATCTCCTAAAATATGGCAGTTAGAGATTTTCGGTTCAGATAAAAATTGAAGTTCAGTTAATTTTCAACAAAAATGGTCCCCATTATTTTTCTCGAAAATTTGCCCGGTTTCGAGAAAAACGGCACGAAGCGCACCTCGAATAATGAGCTTCTGTGTTGTATGCCGTAGAGCACAGTCCGTGTATTTACACATCAACGGGGGGATAAATTATTCAATAACTTTTTTAAAAATGTATATTTTCTCATGATTCAAAGTTCATGTGAAAGAGGCCGCATGGTTTGTAGCAGACGACCCGAGCGCCACGTAGAGCACACACGCGGCGAACGACGGAGGAACGAAAGTAATAAATTATAGCGTGTACATTTAGATATACTGTTTTTTTCCCGGGATATCAAAGGTATGACTTATATACATCGATGGAAAGCTGGGAATTCCCCCGTTACACTAGTTAAGGTGTTAAAATGTTAGAAATAAAGAGCACGGAGAAAAAAAACACCGAAAAAAATAGTGCGTTTTTTCCTTGACCCCGCTTTTTCTAATTTTATTGAAAAATGGACGAGTTCGTCTAAAAAAGTAATTGCACAATCGAAAAGTAGACCTTCTTAGCTTTCAAATGATGTATCATAGAAACCAATTGGATCATGTATAAATTTTTAATTTATGGTTGTTCACAAAATTTCCCCGCGCTCCAAAAACAGCAAAAAATTGGGATTCAATAAACAAAGATTAAATGAAAATTGAAAAAAATTAGGGTATACAAATTTCAGGGATGACAAAGGACCTTATGAGGACCCATAATCAAGAGAATTTTGAGTAAATTAGTGCAATACAAAAAAAATAGGGACAAATTCCTGGCGAGGTCAAAATTGACCGGGAGCAGAAAGTTTGACCCATGTTCCGATATGGCCAAAAGAGTCAAGCGTGACTCAATTCACAGGGTATGATAGCAGCAGAATTCCTCTTTCACATGAACTTTGAATCATGAGAAAATATGCTTTTTTAACAAAGTTATTGAATAATTTGTCCCCCCGCCGATGTGTAAATACACGGACTGTGCTCTCCGGCATACAACACAGAAGCTCATTATTCGAGGTGCGCTTCGTGCCGTTTTTCTCGAAACCGGGCAAATTTTCGAGAAAAATGATGGGGACCATTTTTGTAGAAAATTAACTGAACTTCAATTTTTATCTGAACCGACAATCTCTAACTGCCATATTTTAGGAGATATTGACTGAAAACCTATTTTCGTGGTCTTTTGGGGACATTTTCTCCGCCATCGCACGCGTTTTCCAGTCAAACTTTGTCTCATGTTTAATGAGGTACCAAAAGCTACTTCCAACCGGAAGATGAAAATAGTGCGTAATTAATGTTAACTTTTTCCCTTTATTTATTGGACTAAACTTCTGATGTCTAGGACAATGGCCACCACGGCCGACAGGGGACAGTTGGTCTTTGTCAAAAAGTGCTCAATATATGGGATATATATTCTAGAATCTAGCTCAACTGCCGTACTATATTCAGTTAGATCACACGATATTTGAAGGATGTAGATGAAAATCTGCTCGTCCAATCAGCTACTTATTGCATAAAAAGCTGCAAGCTTGAGTCTAAATTTTCCGTGCAGAGAACATTGTATCAGATCTGATGAAAATCTGAAATGATCTGTACGGAAATTGAAAAATGTGTTGGTGGGTTGGTGACATTTGATGGATTAAGTGAGGACAACAATATTTTATTTCTCACTATAAGTCTGAAAAACCCTGTTTCGAAGTTGCAGTGACAAAAGCATAGCATAGCATATTCGATATAAATGGTGTTAAGGTTTTTCAAAAATGCTTTAGCCGATTTCAATGAAATTTCCACGGTATATTCAAATACTTATCAGGAGTAATACCATGATTACTCGCAAGGCCATCAATAGTAATTCTGTCAAAAATCAACGAGATTTCTGACAGAATTTTCGATAGTATTGTGAGGACAAATTTTATTTTGATACCAGTCATTTTCAACCAATCAGATGCTTTATTTCAACATTGTTACTATGGTAACCATCAGCAAGTTTTCTGAGAATGTTTCATCCACATGAGCATGTAGACGTAAAATTAATAATATAATAATTAGACAATACTAATACTGACAATATTTTTCATTCACCTTTGTTTGTAGTCAATACCCGTTGACATTTCCCTGAAACCTAGTGCGATTATTTTCATATAATAATTTATCTGATATTATAAATTTTATTTTAATAGAGCACGGGAAAAATGAAAAAAATTATCCCCCAATACGAACATACACTTCCATTTTTAATCAATTCGCGATAGAAAATAACACGTCGCCCCACCTGACGGCAACATTTGAACACTTCTGAGCGGTTTGTTTTGATGGATGTGACCAATAACCACAAACGAAAAACAAATGTGAACAAATGAAAATAAAGTAAATCGACCGCTTTGGCAACTCTCAAAAACTCCGGTAGGTGGCGTACGCTTATTTTCTATTGCGAATAATGACATTTTCCTGGATCCCAGTAAGGAAATTGTGTGAAAACAACCGATTTTTTTATGAAAATATATCTGATATTATATATTTTATCTACTCGCATTGAAAGTAAGCGTTTGCTCTTTCATTTAAGGACACAAATATGTCAATTTACTTCCGCGGGAGAAGAAAAATTACCTCCTGTGGAAGGTAAAATAAATCGGCTTCAGCTGGCTTCCTTGGTAGAGATACGTATAACATCTGTGCTACCCAAGTACCTAATCAGGTTCTCAAATATCGAATAACAATTTCCTTTTTGGATCTCATACACTACCTCATATTCCAAACTTACTCAATTAAAACTTTGAAATACAATAATTGCACAATAAACAAATTCAATATGACAGAAGTGTCAAATTGATTTTCGTTCAGATTCAAATACTGTCAACTGTCCATGGCATACTACACTTTTATAATACATTGATTTGGATCGAGACTCGAGAGATAGATCGCCTGAAACACAATTTTAAGAAGTGCGCGCTCTCAAATATATGCATTTGTGGATAAAATCATATACATGGTGCCCGGAAAGGTCATGTCGTAAATGATAGGACTGATATTGTGAGCCAAAATAATGTTAGTACTTCATATACAAAAAAATTACTATCGCTTTTCGTTAAGGTATTATTGACCTTGAATGTAAGAATAAAAAATAATGAATTTCATGTATAACTTTCAAAGGGTTGTAATGATATCAATGAAATTCGAGAAGGTGAATGAACTTCAAAGATGGCTATCCTCATACTGATCCTCCTTTCCATACCTTAACGGCTTTTCAGTAAATATATTTTATACAGGATGGAACGAATTTTTCCCATTTAATGAGGTCAATTTTGACACAGGTAAAAAGTTTCACATTTCGCTTCCACCGTTTGATTCCTTCATTTTTATTATTCAAAAATGGTGTACCTTATTTTATTCGATATCTTGTACCGTTCTAGAGAAAATAGCATTTTAAAACATACATTCCAACCGTTTCAGAGGTAATTGAAGCTACATTTACCTATTTAATGACATCAATGAAGACAAAAATATTATGAAAACTGGTTTTCAATATGTGCATCTTGAACTTCAGCGCTTTTTCTGAACATCTGCGTTGTACTCGAGATAACATGTGAGGATGATCATTTCTTACGGAGTGTGCAGATGTAAGAATTCGATTCAGAAGCTCATTCCCAATATTTAGAGGTGTTTTATAGACTAAACGTTCAATATAGGCCCAAAAAAATGAATCAAGTAGATTAAGATCAGGTGACCGAGGTGGTCATGGAAAAGGACCATGGGGAAATGTGATGTTCAAATGATATCTCACAGCTTTGTCGAAATGAAGAGGCGCACCATCAACCACATATCTCCTCGAATATTCAAAAGAACCTGCAAAAAAGTTGATATTTATTTACATTTGAAGTTCAATTAATGATATGAG